ATTTCCGGCACAAAACAAAGATGGTGAGTAACGCAATTGTGTTAAATGTTTCAAATTGCATCATCTATAGACAAGCTATGTATGTTGACAGTTTGCATACATTTTATACTTTGTACTCGTTGTCTTTTGGCAGGCTGCTCCTGAGCTTTATGTTGGTCACATGGTTTTTATCAGCGTGGATGAGCAATACAGCTACTGCGGCAATGATGCTACCCATAGCCCAAGCTGTCTTAGTTCGATTATCAGAATTAAACACATTACCAAAGGTAAATATCCTATTTGCATACATAAATATCAACAGAGATTTGTAATTCTGCCATTGAAATTATAAACGTGTTTTAACCTTTATGATAGGAAGAGTACACCAAGGAATCTCATCATATAGAGATGGGGGACGTGTATGACGACACCACTGGTACAGAGTATATCGCGAAGAATGACACAGAGCAACAGAACGGTTCTACAATTACTTTACAAGACAACACACCACATGTTCTGTGAGTTGGTCTTTGATTGGATAAACAAGGCACATAAAACACATACACATTTACACATCAACATAACGACAACTACACTACTATTGCAATACAGGAAATCTACAACAAATGCTGGGTTCTTTTCCAACTAACTCGATATTGTCAATATAATGTGAATTGACTACACTTTGGTAGTGTCTCAAAAGCCTGCAGGGAGCATATGTTGATGTATCTGTATTTAACCGCAACTGGGATCTCAGCGCACAAAATAATAATGAGATACACTGATAAAAAAAACTTGTTTTCCATGTTTGTTTGATAAGCATACTAGAGAAAAAAGCTACTGACTCAGAGATAAAGATCGATAATGACAGCAATGGTTTACATTTATCCGAAGATTATCGATTATTTGGAAAAGCTTTGATGTTCGCAATATGTTATGCCGCTAATGTTGGTGGCACAGCTACATTGATTGGTACATCAAGTCAACTTATATTACTGTCAAATTTGGATGAGTAAGTTTAATACATTTTGTAATTGAGTCTATGCGCATGCCTGTTGAGCTATTAATAATCCGGATGAGCTATGTTATTTGAGGGAATACAATATGCATTACCATTGGATTAATGTTTGTATTAGAAAGACAGTTGATAATGTTATTAATACAACTAACGTATATGTTGATAGTCATATATATGTTTCCATATGTATAGTCTGTTTGTTTGTTTGTTTTCAGGCGCTTTGATGATCATCCTCTCAATTTTCTATCTTGGTTTATATTCAGCTTTCCGTCATCTTTGCTATTTATATTCATAACCTGGTTTTGGTTGTTGTTCATGTACTTAGATTTGTGGTATGTTTTTTATTTTTTTTTATTTTTTATTTTCCGCAATACAATATTGTGTAGTAGAGCCTGGCTGCAAGTCGTACAACTCTGTATGTGCATATAGGTTTAAACTGATATAGTATGTACGTGCTGAAAATCCCCACATTTTTGTGATCCGTTATTACAAAGCAATGTGTTCTGTTGAAATACGATTACTACTATGTAGTCAATCCTAGTTGTTTTAGCTGATACATACATGTCACAGAACGCTATGCTTTGTAGAGATCAATATGACACCATGTAAAATACGCCCAACAATAATGGCCAGATCGCTTCCGCCTGTTCCTTTAAAAACAGGTTATTCCTAATGGCATTGGCCACACTCAAATATTGACTAATGTATACCGTTACTAACTCACAGTTCCGCTAATTCCCTGCAGTACTTTGCCTTAATACCCTTCACTGAAACTTCCAACTTCACCAACCACTCTTCCTCACTACCTACTCCGTCATCTTAGCTCCCACAGTATATCCATACTGCCACAGAAGGAGCACATTGCAAAATTACATATGCAAATTAAAATAAAAATAAATAACAAGAACTCATGACATCACTTGCCCTTCAAGATGAAACTTGTAAAGTTTCTGCACATCACATTTTTTGTGATAACTCACAGGGAATAACTTTCCATCATGACCTGCCGCAATCCCAGCATCAGAAGCATTATTACGTAACACGTAAGGCTTGTGTAAACCTGAATATAGATTTACTTGTTATTACACGAATAAAGTTCTGTAAGCCTTCTCTTGTGCTTCTTCCCACATAACATCGATGGGTTGGCCCTTCTTTGTTAAGTCCGTTAATGGTACTGCAATAGCTGCATAGTTAGGTATGTACTCCCTGTAAAATCCAGTCAGTCCAAGAAATGATCTGACTTCCTAGTGGGACAAGGAACATTTATAATCTTGTTTACATTATCCTCATGTGGAATCTGACCCTGACCACTTGATAACCGATGTAATCAATATCACAAGGAGCTATTGTGCATCTGGATGGTCTAGCAGTGAGCTGTGGATCAGCCATCCTGGTGAACAACTCTCTGAGTGCTTTTAAATGCTCACACCAAGTGATAGTGTGAACCAAAATATCATCGATAAAACTAAAAACACTAAACATCACACACCACAGACCTTGGTTGCACAAGAATTCATCATTCTAAATGGGATTTTCAAAAACCTGTGTATGTCCTCCTCCGCCACAGTAACCTGCCAAAACTAATTATCAAGATCCACTTTAGTAAAGTACTTGTCAATACATATATGATTCGAACAATCTGTTTTGCGCTCTATCACGACAGGTGATGCATATGGGGATTCAGTTTCTCCTATCTTCAGCATACTTTGAATGTTCTCTTTCAAAGACTCTCCCACACTATAGTGCAAGGGTAAGGACTCAATTTTATAGGTTCATCAGATCTCAGTTGGATGGTAGTTCCAGGCAGGTCTGTGAATATGTGCTTATACTCATGCACTAGACAGCCAACTGATTGCTTCTGATCATGAGTCAGGCTCCTGTCATATTTCACGTCAGCTACAGACTCTTTTCACCTTTCTATCACAGTGGTGCTTGTACCCTCGCTAGGATTTCTGTATCTCTACCTGGGCAATTTTCAGTGTTTCATCCAAGCACACTCTCAACTCAAACACATACTGATAACTGCTTCTAACTTCTGGTTCCCCTGTCTCTGTTGTCCAAAGTTGCTTCAGAATATGCATAGGACATCCACTCAAATGAAGCAAAACCTGTTGATCATTGAGGCACTTCTCTGTAAGCGAATAGCAATGCATTGATGTTTTCAATGTACCATTTATCGTTTCCACCAACCCATTGCACATTGGATTGACATAAGGAGTGGTTGTCAGTTGCCAAATAAACTTCACACATGCACTCTGACAGAAACTGAGTTCCCATGTCGTGTAAAATCTCCTCTGGTATATCTAAGCTACTGTACATATCAACCAGTGCTTCAGCTACATCTTCTGTACTGATATGTTTCAGGGGTATTGCCTCTGGATACCTGGTAGCATAGTCTACTAATTTCAAGATATACCAATGACCCTTCTCACAAAGAGGATAAATAGGACCAAGTAAATCAATAGCAATCCTGTTGAATGGCTCGTTTATCAGTAGCGTCTTCTGAGGGGAACCTTTGCAATGTTATCTTTAGGTACCGTTCTCTGGAAAATATCACAAAATCGACAAAATCTTGTTATGTCACCATGTATACCCAGTACCAGCTTTCTTCACATTAGGTCTATCACCAAACTTTTTTGATGGTCTACATGTAACAGAGTCCCAAACGACCACAATTATAACATCTGTGAAGGTCTCACTTTGCACTTTCATATGCGGGACAGCCACTCTGGACAATATGTCCTATATATATGGTCATAACTTTGCATTTATAACACTGAATATCATACCCACAGTGGACTTAATTTCCTGACCACCTGCCCTCTGCAATTTTATACATGGATAGTCGCAACGAGAGGTGAACTTTTTGTCATGAGCCCTCGCGATCATACTTAGCCAAGAGTTCTAGGCTGCTTCTCATGCATGCGTATGGACACATCCCTGGGACAAGAATCAATAAACCGTTGCTCTATTATCAATTCACACACGCCATCAAATGATCTATCAGTATCAGACAACTCAACCATTTAAGAAAATAGTTTTTTAGCCTGACTATACACTGTTAAGAACTCTCACCATCCTTAGGCTTGAAGTTCATAAACCTCAATCTATAGCCCTCCTCCGTTTATTCATATCTTTTTAGCAAAGTTTCTTTAACTAACCCATAATCGGTTGTTGCAATATCTGAGAGCCTAGAATATACATCTAAAACAATACTAGTTAACAAAGCACTTAATGACATAGCCAATTTGGATTTATCCAACTCATTACTTGCAGCAAAACAATCAAAAATAGCTACCCAACTCATCCTTCCCATCAACAAAAGCTGGAAGCTTAAGTGATTTTGCTAAATTAGTGTACCTAATATCAGAGTTTTTACTTAGACAACTTTTTAACTCAAGTTGTTTCATTTCCAACTCATGTTTTCTCTTAGCTTCATTGTCTTCAAACTCAGTCTGCTGTCTGCTAACCTTCTTTTGCTCTTCAAGCCCTCTATCAGTCTCTACCATTTTGAAGTCACATTCCCTTCTGCCTTTCTTCACGCTCTATACTCCGATGTTGAGTTATGAAATGTAAAATCTTTACCTTCTAAACTAAGCTTAGAACCTGATTCCATATTGAAGGTACACCTAGATAGTCAAAATAACAATGACTAGGATATACACAATCCCAAACAGCTGTATCAATAAGTCCATTAGTGGCAGGCGTATTGCATTAAAGCTACTAATGCCTGTAACTATTAGAAATTAGTCTCGAAAATGCAGACACATCAGCTGATACTTTGGTAGTTTCACACGCAGCGCTAAGCACCTTCACGCGTGAGTCCACTACCCCGCAAGATGTACGGTGTCCAAAAGATATCTCCCAGCACTGTCAAAGCAAGTGATCTACAATGATCGCAAATTATATAGCCTGGGGAACAAGAAATATTATTTGCAATATATACTTTTTTCAAAATTTCTGGATTAACCTAAGCACTTAAAATTCAAAATACAGAACTAATATGCCACAACATATTTCGGGAGATCCGTATGACACCATGCAAATACACGCCCAACACTAATGGCAAGAACGCCTATGCCCAGTTTTCCTTTAAAACAGGCTATCGCTAACGGCATTGGCCACACTCAAAGATTGAACAACGTTTAGTTTTACTAACCCACAGTTCCGCTGATTTCCTGCAGTACCTCGCCTCAATACCATTCGGTGAAACCTCCGACTTCACCCACCACTCTTCATCACTACCTACTCCGCCATCTTAGTCCCTGCCTATCTATATCCATACTGCCACAGAGGGAGCACGTCGCAAAATCACATAGTTATGCAAATGAAATAAAGATAAATAATAAGAATGATAATACTGTAACATCAGACCAAATGAAAAAAAAACATGCAGACAAAACAGTAGTCCTGTTGTATATTTGAATAAATATACGTAATGTATAAGGTATGTAATATTTTTCAGTCCATGGAGAAAGTCTGGTTTAGCACCATGTTCATGTAGTTCTAAGACAAATGAAGAAGAAATATTGATCAAAAATCTTATCAAGGAAGATTTTAAAAACCTTGGACCTTTTAGGTAAGTAATGTAAAATCTCATGAAGCACTTCTGATGTCGGAATAGTAATTCATTTGCAGATTTAAACATTTAAATGCAAAGGCGCACAAGTGCCACCTTTCGCAAGATGTAGTATTCTAAATGTATTTGAGCATGTTTAGTATATGTTTGTGATCAATAATCAAACAATCCACGTCGGTGATTTCACGATTTAACTGTTCAGGAAAATGAAATGTGTAGACCATTAGCAATGAGAAACTATAGTATGTTATTTTTGAGGTGATGGATGTCTCCAGTACTTGTTAATGCTTTAAATTGCTTGTATACTACATTATTATTGAGGCTTGTGACATGTTTATTCGATGTTAGGCAGTTACTTGTGTAGCTATATATTCGCTGTATATATTATTTTCTCGGATAAACATGTGATTCACTTATAGTTGGGCTGAACTGTGTGTGTTGACGCTGTTCGTTACTCTGTGTGTAGCGTGGATAACCAGGGATATTGGTGGATATGGATGGACAAACCTCTTCCCAGAAGAGTGGGTCACGATTTGTTTCTCTTATCTCATAAGACACGGTAGACGGTGAATTACAGTTAAACTCCATCTGTTCAAAACAATTATATCTAACCACGATGTAATGTGTTTTTCAGCTATGTTACTGATGCGACTCCTGCTATATTTATGGCAATTGTTCTATTCTGTTTTCCCTGTGCTTTTCCAAATTTCTTTGGATTCAGGACAAAAGAAGGTACATTACAATGCGATTTAAATGCTCATATATCCATAATTATGTTCCAGTTGTGCAAACGCGCGACCAGCTTTTTCACAATTTGTCACCTTCATAAGAATGATTATTTGCAATATATATTATTCAATGAATATACCCCGTAACCCTGTTTTAATTAGAATACCTTCAACAGATACATCCAAGACCGCACCCAAAGCAAGCTTGTTAAACTGGAAGATCGTCAATGAAAAGATGCCATGGGGTTTGTATTTGCTACTGGGTGGTGGATTTGCCTTGGCAGAAGGAATGGAGGCAAGTTGATTTAATCTTCGGTCCGACTCTAATAATATCAACAACATTATAACCTGAATAAGTTGTTATTTCTGAATGATAACTCTTCGATTTAGTATAATTCTTAGTATGCCATACATGCTGTTACCATACTTACTTAACTAACTTTGAACCACCTGTATACATTTTTCGATTTAATAAATGTTCAAGATACAAAAAGTGTAAAATGCTTAATGGTGATTTGTGATTAAATAGTTTAGCCATCGAAACAATCAAATGTTCATGTTCACGTGATGTGTATCTTTCTCCAGGTCTCGGGTCTTTCTCAGTGGATTGGTGACCAGTTATCGTCACTTGGGTATTTGGAAGACTGGGTTATTGTTCTTGTCTGTTCTACTTTAGTATGCTTCTTCACAGAAGTGACTAGCAACAGTGCAGTTGCAACCATATTTATACCGATTATAGGGGCTCTGGTATGTGATTAAACATGACATTTTCAACTGTCGTCGAAAATTGTTAACGTTCTTTTCAGACGTTTACAGGGCACATAATGTTTTAAGAAGCATTGTTGTAATAATTGGAAATATACGCTGAATCCCATACACAATATAAATTGAGTATTGGTGCTTGATACTAGTAATACCTCTATCAATCATTTGATTAATGACTGGTCGTGGTAGTCAATAGCAACACCAGTTATACAACATGGAAGAGCATTCTGCAACAAATTGTACTGTATGCTTACATTTCTGGAATACTTTTAAAGTGCGCGATGTTTGATCGCTCATAATTTTAATTTTTATTGAACCTTATGTTTATCTTCATATTTATTGTGGCTATAGGCAGGGAGTATTTGTCTACATCCTCTGTATGTATTGATGCCATGTGCGATCTTGATCTCTTATGGATTTATGTTGCCAGTAGCAAACTTCCCAAATGCCACGGTGTTTGCTAATGGATTGCTGACTATACCTGATATGGTAAGACGCATTATATACTATCCACAGTTGCAGTTAGATGGCCTACAAATGGCAGTATAATTTTAGCTATTCACTATATGGGGTAGATCTATCAACGGAATTCAACAAAATGTTGACGTGAAAAAAGTTATGGACGCTTCGTTATTCGTAAAACGTACTTTCATGTTCACGGTTTTTTAAACCGTCATCGTCATCCAACAGTAAAACCGTCGATAAATGGCCTCTTACGATTTCGGTTTCAAATACCCTGTCAAAGTGGTCTTGGAATAATAAGATACATATATACGCCAGCTGAGAAGAAAATGTCAGTTTATCTTATAAATACCAAAATCTGACTACCCCAATAGGTAATGGGAGATCGAGTTCAAACATAAATTGTACGTAATGGCTTTTAATCGATAATCTAGTTAAATCATTATCATTCATTATCTCTCTTAAGGCAATCACGGGATTAGGACTCAACATACTTGGTATTCTATGGATCAATTTCTGGGTGAATAGTTATGGTAATTATAAAGCGTTATTTGATTTGGATGAGTACCCGGACTGGGCGAAGACTGATAATACAACATGTGCGGACACAACCGTCAATGTCACATTAATTTGACGATAATCTGATCAGATTCCATGCAAATATGCAGATTATACTCTTTTATATATCGGACTAGAACACTATGTGATACTTGGTGTAATGCAACAATTAGTAAAAGTTCTTCATATTCTCTATCGCAAGCACAGGGAATGAAAGTTGACTCAGTTGACTCAGTGTGAGGTGGCAACATAGACACGATCAATTACATGTGATGCATATTACATTACCACTCCTATACACACAAATTAAGACGCTAATTACATGTGATGCATATCACGTTATCACTTCTACATGCACAAAGTGAGGCTTACTAGATGCTAATGGAATTATTAAATTATATAAGGATATTTCATTATATCAAATCCATGTGTGTGAAAAGATTACACATTAGAATGATATTATTTCGCTATTTAATTCCCTTAAATCCTTGTACCAGGTATTATTAGCATAACAAACTTTTCTTTCATTTTCATAAACATTTGCAAATTTCAATGACAGTGGAATATAACCAGCCAATGAACGATCGTAGTTTGCAATAATGTCATCTGAAAATGGTTCAATGTTATTCCATCGGTCATCAAAGACCTCTCGTTTTAATTTGAATAGTAAAATTTATAAAATTAGGGATTTTGTTTGTTGTGTTGATAGTATAACATACGTCACCCTCACGTGACAATGTAAGCATATTACTATTTAATCATAATAAAATTGCAGTAACTTAAATTATAAATATAAAAAAATCGCAGAACAATCGTTCATTCTTGTGGGAAAATGTAATTCATCGCTCGTGCTATGCAACATAATCTAACAAGACTTAACAATTTAAATACCTGAAGTGTTTGCAAATGTATCCATACCGGATCACCCACAGAACTGCTATGTGGGAGGTTTGGTCCCATTTTGACCATGTGCAAAGTAGATGTATTTTAAACCAACTTTTATGTCACATTTCTCGAAATCATGCCCTCAACGGCTGTGGCTATATTTCCTTTAACTTGTGTTGTTTGAATCACGGTTACTAAACGGTTTTGGTAACCGTGTTTGAATCTTTAACATCTCACAAGATACGAAACTCTGTCGCTGTTTTTCCCAGGAAAGGTTTAATATGTAGTTTGGATATTAATTGTTTTCTTGAGAACGGATATATTTGGGTGTAATTTGGTTTTAATCAGATAATTTTAATCAATTTGCAGGTGGATGGATATCCGATGTTAAAGATTGATGACATTAAGATTGAATTAAAAAAAGGGCCATTCTGCTTTTAAAATGTTAAAAATATTAAAGGGATGTTATTTTCATATTATTGTACGTATGTTATATTTACTAATAGATATATAACCAGATTGTACGCTTGCATTTACTGCAGTACGAAATATTTATAATATGTGATATGTTATATTCCTAGGGGTTGTAAGAGTCGTATCATATAGAATTGTGAATCAGAGATTATAACTGTTTTTGACCAACAGTAAATTAAAAGTCACGGTAAGTATCGCTGATGTTCTGAACTACGGACATATTTTTAGACGTTTGAAAATTCCAAACTGAATTATCTTACCACTTTTAGATTCGCATTTAGTTTTCCACTTTCCTATTCCACGGAAACACATTTCCCACTTCGTATATGCCCATAGCTAAAATATCCACACACCATAGTCGGAGAAATAAGAAGCACGCTTGAAATCTTAAAATATCGCATACGATCCAGGTTTTCCCATTAAATGCCACAAGCCACAAATCAACGTCTTCTCACCTATCTGGATCATCAACAAAGATTCGTGTGAAATACTCGACTCTCTATGACTATTGTTGAACACACCAATTTTTTTAACATGTATATTCATTGTTTTTCGTAGTTCATGTATGGTTTAATGTAAGGTCTTATCAGTGCACACGTTTTGACTAAATCTTAACAGCTGAACATTGCGCACGTTGACATGAATGTTTTATTACAATACATTTGCCACGTTAATTTTCCTTACGTTGTCTTATACTTGTATTGTTCCCATTCCGTGAACCTTCATATAAGTAATAATACTATTACACCGTAATGAAACGTAACAATTCATTTTAGCCAGGAAAGTACTTCAATAAACAAGCAAGTATGAATTACATGGAAATTCTAATATTTAATCATATGTAAACAAAAGTACTACTAACACTCAAGTCTTATTTATGCATACGTAAATAAATCAACTATTATGCACACTATGATGAAATAACTCAGCATCAGTCAGCACTAACCTGACAAGCGGCGACATATATACATATTCTCTCCTAAAAATGGGATCCAATTGTAAACAGCTACTTTGGAAAGTTTGGTCATTCAAAGACATCATCGCGTTACTTACGATACCGCTACTGTGTCTTCCATTGATTATAGTTATTCCGACACCGGTAAGTGACCTTCTGCTTTACTATATATGTGTTCAATCGTACATGCCGATTACTGGTATATAACAGTTTAATTAGCGAGTAATTTCCCTTGCTGTCGCCGGTTCGTATCACCTTAAAACAAATCATGACGAATGTCTGTTTAACTACATTGTAATACAAATGAGTTGGAGAAAATTCTCTGGTGTTTTATAAATTCATATGTTGTTGTACCATTAAAAACTTGTGTTGTGATTAGATCTCATTCTTAACGCGTTACAATTGTCACTGAATTGTCACGAGTAGTATAGGTCGCATGGGGCCATATCGAACGCATCGAACACCGCCCCTTGCATGATTTTCTTTAAGATGTGTAATTATTTATATGTGGTGTCATTTGATCAAGATTGATTTCGACCCTTTATTTCGAAGCTACTTACAACATTTTTCCTGATTGGCTACCCAACCCTAACACCTAACATTCAGACCAATCAGAGAGCAGCTTGTTTGATGACGATTTGTTCTTTCTTGTACACATACTTCGACTCAACTGCGTGGAACACGTTCTTATAATTATGATAGATTATTGTGTAATGGTAATATCACTGATTAAATAACAGGCCTACGTAGGGCTGTGTAAATAGTTCACTGCACGGGTCAGGGTACATATTTACAATAAACAAAATAAATATGGTTATTTGTTGAGGTTTGTCAATTGAGGTGTTTATTTAAGTTATATCTACAAATTAGATAGCGAGCAAAAAATTCTTGTAACATTCCAAGTTCATTTCATACAACCACATCAAAATGATTTAGACTTTATTGCGACTCAGTTATTACGTTCTTATTGTTATATATCATTTTTGTTATATATCATATTGTAACTAATATATCATTTTGTTTAAATCATGTTTTAACACGACACGACGTTGTCCTGACACAATATAACTCATGTTGTCAAATATTTGTTGTGGGTCAATATTTTAGATTTTAGATATTGGCAGTTAGTCCAGCTTGACATTCAAAATAAATTACAAACGTACCATGGGGATGTCAAATGTTGAAGTAATCATAATGTTGTTTCTACCCCACAGACATATCCGTTGCACAATTTCATACTGTCCGTGTTTCTTTACGTTAATAGAACGAAATAATATAGGTTACATTGTCAATGTGTAAATGTAAAACATATATGCATTTTATAATATATATGAAATCACATATGTGCTCACTGAGTGGTATAAATATAACTCCATCTTGGTTTAAACTCAACTAATTAACTCAAAGGTATAATTGTATTATAGGAGTCTTATTGTGGGTATGTACTAATAGTGATGTCCCTGTATTGGATATTTGAATGTGTACATATATCGGTAACTTCTCTGATACCGCTAGTCCTATTTCCCACGTTTGGCATACTGGAAGGTGGTGCAACCGCTTCGATGTATTTTAAAGACATAACTGTGCTGATATTTGGGGCTACATGTATGGCATTAGCCATCGAACACTGGAATCTCCATCGACGGATAGCGTTATCTGTATTGGTAGTTTCTGGAACGAAGCTAAGGTGGTGAGTACATTAGTGTTTTAATTAGGTTTCAGGTCTTGGAAAGTATTGGGAGCCTGAAGTATTTGTTGCCACACACACAACAAGTTGAAGGTTTTCAGCGTTATTCCCCGGAGAGCAACTGAAAACATATATGGCCACTCACATGAATGACACAGTACTGTATTTGTGATAACGGGTATCAGTCAAAGAACGCCACTACAGTCGAGCATATTATTTTAATCTCTGCAATAGTCTGTTTAGATGAAAAATATTAAAATAATTTAGGCTACTATTTTAGGTTACTATTAAGCTTCATGTTGATCACGTGGTTTTTATCAGCGTGGATGAGCAATACAGCTACCACTGCAATGATGTTACCCTTAGCCCAATCTGTATTGGCTCGATTATCAGAGATAAAAACATCAGAAATGGTGAGTAGTTAATATATACATAACTTAGATATCTAAACAAGATATTGGGAGTACTATAAATATAACCTCCTACGAACCATTATGCACAAAATGTCAATACAAAGCACTGTCACGTTATATGGGAAGCCACAAATGCCATCATTATTTATAGTTATCATGTTTTCATTTGTTTTCATTGATTGACTAGCCTTCTAATTCCCATCAAAATAAGAAAGATTCGTGTGATAACTCTGAGATTGGAGATGTCATAACGAATGTCCATCAGGAGACATCCGAAAAACGCCCTTCACGGTGAGTACAATCATTTACATGACATTCGTGTGGATTTCCTAATAACTTATCCGTCATAACCGAGATTGTAACCCTAGGACAAACACAGAATAAAGAATGCTGACAGTATTTATGACATAAAACTTATTTTAAATAACAACATAATATATTCTTGCCAAGGTCAATAAATAAAAATATTACATAATAGACAATAAGGTGACATTTGACAGGATTTCAAATTTTGCATCTAATCTGGATTATCGAATTTTTATGATCATAATTTACATACAATACATAATTGATCCAGTTTCTATAGTAACAATCACAACCAATCACAATCAAATGCAATGACCTCGACGTTCATGAGATTTGGACTAAGTTATAAATGTGTTCTGTTTATGATATGATGTGCCATTCATATTTCAAAACACGCACATACACATTTTCCTTTAAATTTGGTGAACAGGTCTTTTTATGGTCATAGGATTGGTGGGAGTGTCACAACTATTAGTTAGTCTACTACGTTGCCCCAACATAAGTACAACATTTTTTCGCATCTATGAATACATATTCGCTAACACAAAGCCTCACACAATTTTCCAAACGAAATGTTTCATACAATGTATGATATTCAAAAAAGAAACGTCAATGAAATGGGAATAGATTGCATCAGTTAATTTGCATATCATTGGAAATAAATATTACACATTCTTGATGAAAATAACATTTTTGCTTTATTATTTTATGTCAATAGTTTGAATAGAAAGGTTTCCAAGACAACTCCCGAGAATGAACCGATTGGTTTACAAGTCGCCGAGGAGTATCGATTGTTTGGGAAAGCTTTAACGCTTGCAATATGTTATTCTGCTAGTATTGGTGGTACGGCCACGCTGATTGGTTCGTCGCCGCAACTTATATTATATGGACAAATGAATGAGTGAGTGAATTTATTGAATTATTCAAACACGTGCTGCCCGACGATCACAGCCCTTTAACATAATTCATTAATTCGACTAGATGTAGGCACAATCTTTAAAGTTTATTTATTTTGATAATCTCATATGCCATCTGTACGTTATTGTACACGGCTAAAATGTTATTATTGGACATCACGAACCCTATGATTGATATACATTTATATATATCTATTCAGAATTGTAAGTAAGTTGTCACAATGCGCTAGTATTAGGGATGAATATTCTACATGATACTAAAACAGTGTTCTTTTGTGTGATATACAACACTCATTTCATATTCGTTGTTTTCGTAAATTTTTCAGAAAAGTGCTAGCAGTCGTCATGTTTTTCTTTTGATAGAAAAATATTTGTTTTGTAATTGCTAGCAATTTTAAGCACGTTTCTCGACTAGAGATTTATTTCCTTTCACCAGCAACTAAAAACTACCAATTTGTAGTGTGTAAGATCAATTCACACGACAAAAAGTATATGCCTTATTTGCATTTTTATTTTCAATTTAATTTTCAGACAATTCGACGATCATCCTCTCAATTTTCTGTCGTGGTTTATATTCAGTTTTCCGTCCTCTTTCCTATTTATATTCATTGCCTGGTTATGGTTGTTGTTCATGTATTTAGATTTATGGTACGTACCAAATATATTTTTTTAAAACACTAATTTTTCGAATAATTGATAACAAAAACAAATATATCTGTAGTGATATATCCGTCACGATATATTTTCATCTTATATCACCAGAGTGCAATGCATGCTGGGTATGCTTCTAGCTCAAAATATTCCAAAACGTGTGTTGCATAATTGTAATAACATGTTCATCGTCTCCCAAATGTGTTAGCCCATGGAGAAAACAGAGATCAACATCGTGCTCCTGCAGCTGTCAGAAAACCCAAGAAGAAATTCTCGTTAAAGAGATTATCAAAACAGAATACAAGAATCTTGGAAAATGTACGTAAGTATCACAGAAGGATATACGGAAGGTGTCAGACAGTGACGTCACCACTACATCAAGGTTACATATTTCTTTTTAAATTATTCAAAAATGTTATGTGCAATGGGAAATTTTGAGTACGCACGCACCCAGACTATAAATTGAACAGTATTTTACGCCTTTTTACGACAACAATTCTCTCTTAAGGCTACATACACTCATTGACGCCACTTGTTTTGCTGTGGCTCTTGATAGTGTCAATACTAATCTGACCTAACACTATCACATCTATCGACATCACATCCAACCATGTATTGAATGGTCTCCCATCACATAAAATAATAACGTGTATTGGGAGAGTTGTTATATACTGACAATAAAGTGAAACATATAGTTGTATGTTTCACTGCTTGCAGTTGGGCCGAACTAAGTGTATTGACGATGTTTGTAAGTCTGTGTCTATTGTGGATATCCAGAAATATTGGTGGATACGGATGGACCATGCTGTTTCCGGAAGAGTAAGTGTATGTTATTTTGTATGAATATTACATTTATCATATTGTATTTTTGTGTTGTAATTGCATACCTAACCAATTTGCCACAAACTAAAAAATAGGTAATATTGGTAATCATTTCACTATATGAACATTTGCAGTTACGTCACTGACGCGACCCCGGCAATATTCATGGCATTTGTTCTGTTCTGTTTTCCATCGGAATTCCCGGGTTTCTTTAGACTAAGAACCAAAGAAGGTAAGCAACCAAATATCTTTCACATTTATAAGCTTTTCCATGAATTACATCGTCCGAGTTCTTTATGGTATGCAGCTTATCATTTTGAAAGTGACAAATAAAGTATTCAATCTTGTTTTGTGTTATGTTTTGATAGATACACCACCAACTACACCCAAACCAAGCTTACTTAATTGGCAAGTGGTGCATAAAAAGATGCCCTGGAGTTTGTTTCTATTAATTGGCGGAGGATATGCGTTGGCTGAAGGAATGGAGGCAAGTGTATTTCCAGTACTCTATATTTGGACTTGTTTAACTTATCATTTTTTGTATCTAATACACAGTTACTCGTGCGTCAAATATCGATAGAGAACAGAGTCATTTTGTCATGGTAGTGAACTAGGAATCCCTTGTTACGTGTTTATGTATACGTGATGTGCATGTAATTTATAGATAATTCTAGTTTTACATTTATACTCTGCTCTTTAGGTCACAGGTTTGTCACGGTGGATTGGTGATCAGCTCTCATCACTTGGGTTTTTATCAGACTGGACCATTGTACTTATATGTTCTACATTAGCGTGCTTTTTTACAGAGGTCACTAGTAATACTGCAGTTGCGACTATATTTCTACCAATAATCGGGCCATTGGTAAGTTTCATGGTTAACCCGTGGCGACCATACCATCGCCATTATATACTCTCAGCGCAACAAAGACATTCGCTTCATTTTGATGAATATTCACAATGGGTTTATATTGAAGAGCATTTGAAAGTTTTCATATAACGTCGTTGTGTTCGTTGATTGGCTAGTTGGGTTGATGCGTCACTGGCATTTACAGGGGGTGTTCAATAAGTAATGCCCCTGACCCACTTCCAGTTGTCTGATTTAGATGCATTTGTAATGATTTACATCTCTGTGGGTTATGTTGCAAAAAACAGATCTGAACTAATAGTGGTTTCTGATTTACAGGTGTTTGAACTAAGTCAGGTGTGAAATGGGCCAGTTGAATATCGTGCAGTGATTTTGTATTTGAAAGACTTTTGATGAAATGAAACAAACTTATGGTGATGATGCCCCATCATATGACCTTGTAAAACGCTCCCAGACCTGGTCGTGCCACTTCTGCCATTGATGAGGCATTTGTCCGTCAAGTTGAGGCAGTCATTTTGAAAGATCGACGCATTACTGTTTGCTAAATATCCCAAGAGGTCAAGTTTAGTGCAGGGTCTGTGAAAACTATCATTCATGACCATTTGCATATGCATAAGGTGTCTAGCAGATAGATTCCCAGGTTACTCACACCTTTCCAGAAACAAGAACGCATCAAGTGCTCGACGATGAATTTGGAGATGTGCCAAGAAGATGAGTCAAAGTTTTTCAAACGACTGATTACACAGAATACAACTTGGGTCCATCACTATGATCAAGAGACCAAAGCCCAGTCAATGCAGTGGAAGCACTTGGACTCACCACCTGCAAAGAAGGCAAGGGTGCAGCCCTCCACTGGCAAGGTCATGCTCACAGTCTTCTGGGACCAGGACAGGGTAGTGATGAAAGATTTCCTGGCAAAGGGTACCACAATTAGAGGAGTCTATTACGCTTCACTTTTGATGAAATTAAGAGAAGTTATCAAAATCAAGAGGCGAGGCAAGATCAGCAAAGTTATCCTCCTGCAGGACAAAAGCTCCGGTCCACAACTCACATGTCGCCAGATCAGAAGCACAGGCGTGTGGCTATGAAATCCTCCCCCGCCCCCTTACTCTCCTTACCTTGCACCATTTGACTTTCATCTCTTTCCAGCCATGAAATTGTTTTTGAAAAGAAAGCGTTTCCCAGGTGATGCAGCCTTGATTTCTGAAGTTACGATGTGGTTGGAAGACCAACCTGGGGTGTTCTACCAAAACGGTGTCCAGAGCTTCATAAAACGATGGGAGAAATGCATAACTCTGGGTGGTTCATATGTAGAGAAAGACTAATAACTGTGCCAAGTTTCATTAATCTCCTGCTATGGGAAATGGGTCAGGGGCATCACTTGTTGAACGCCCCTCGTATAAATATTTATAAAGATGAACAAAATCCCTTTGTTTTGATATCGGCCTCTATCCCAGGAGATGGGGCACTCGAGTTGGGTCATGGGTACCCATGCTCTAACATAAAAATATCTTTTTAAAAAAATACGTACAAATCATTTCAAAACAGGTAGACGTAATTATCTGTCTGAAAACCACCCATAATACGCGTGTTTGTGTTGTAGTATGCGTACCGAGTTCCCATTCAAGTGTATCCGTCATGCTATATACTGTGGTATGATTTACTAACTTAGTTACAAGCTGTAACGTGTATAGTTTTTTATTTAATACCAATTATATTCAAATCAAAACGAATACGATTGGATTGGTAAGACAAGCGCATATCACAATTTAGTGAAATGCGCGTCCATAAATTAGAGCAGCTCACTTCGCTGTGCCGTCCAACTACACGCCTTACCTAACTTCAGTGTAATATTCAAAGATATATACGTTAATTATGTTTTTATTTGTTTTGTAATTAGGCAGAAAGCATTTGCCTGAGTCCTCTATATGTTTTGATGCCATGCTATATTTTGATATCATATGCTTTCATGTTACCAGTGGCAACAGCTCCGAATGCTATGGCGTTTGCAAACGGTTTGCTGACAATTCCGGATATGGTAAGTCAATGTGAATATATGACGAAAACAGCGAGGAACTCAATAATATCCGATTTACAAGGTCACGAAATCGCATATATCGTAAATCAAGTTACTCAATCACGTACTAGAATACGCCATAACTTATTGAAGCTATTCGTGATTTACATGTGCGTCCGAGAACGTGGTATACCCAAATGAAGCAAACATGCATTTTATCTGGTAGTTGTAAATGTGTATATGCCTAAGTGTACTCGTTGTGAACAAAGTGACAATTAAACAATCCCGGTCAAACTGCATTAATGAATATATTGTTAGTATTTGCAATTCTATTCGTAATCATGCGTAAACAGGTGTGCGTTAAATTCGGAATTCTTAGCAACATGCTCGAAGCAAAAATATATAATATTGTTTTAATCATTTCACTTTGGATGTGCATATAACCAGGCACTGGACGACATTTGGAAAAGAAATATCGACTATAAACCTGTCGTAAATCTGTGATCTTCTCTCGTTACTAGGCGTTCACCGGATTAGGACTCAGCATTCTTGGTATTGCATGGATTAACCTATGGGTGAATAGCGTTGGTAATGTACTGTTTGATTTAGATGAGTACCCAGACTGGGCGAAGACTGATAATACAACATGTTTCGATACCACCATGAATATATCACTTAAGTTTGTTGATAAGATGAGTTCACAGTTATAACATACTTGTATTTTACCGTAGTTAGACACATTGTTATGATGACTTGATTATTATTGAGTTCATTACAAACTTCACTGGTAATCAGAAAGATGGGTCAATAAATAACATCATTCTTCACATCACAAACAAACAAAGAAAAATAAGGGTATTCTCCGACATATCAATACAGCACATAAAGTAGAATGTCATATTTCTATTAACATACTGTAAGAATGTTTAAATAAAGATTATGCATAACCAATGTATTTTTAGAAGATCTCTGTACATTATACACACGTGTAAGGAATAACAACATCTGACAGATCGTTTGTGAAATGTGACCCAAGGTATTTCACTGTTTCGACTTCACAAACTTTCACACCACTAAAGACAAACTTGAAATCAAATATCTAATTTGTAACATACACATAGTTTACACTTGAAACTAGACCTTGAATTTTGAGAAGATGATGTATTTGTCCAAGAAAATGGTAATTGAATGAATGGAAATGTACACACTTTTTGAAAGTAGTGTTGGATTGGATTGGCAATATTTGAATTAAAGTGGGGATATTATGAATACAGTACCACAGCATTTACTGTGATCGGGGTATTTTCTACGATGTCTGTATGCAATAGGGATTTTACAGAATCTTACATAAACTTTATTGAACTTGATGCGATGTCGACATGAATCTGAACTGATTGATAAAGTGACATATCAAACAAATAAATGACAATGCATAGTAAACTCTGATATTACATCATCTGACAAACTAGTCTATGGACCAATGACGTCAAATGTGATTTATTAAACTTGAAATCGAAATGGTGTCCAGTTGTAGAGAACTATGCCGGAAGGTGGGGTCGTTCACATAAATCTTTGTAATCCTGCCAGTGACTCTGCTATTAATTATAATCATTCCAACCGGGGTGAGTAAACTTTGCATCTGCTCCAGACAGAACTAATGTATAATGAATGTTGAGGTTCATCAAACTACTTTAAGCTGTTTAGAAACACAGTAATGGCATGCAGGTTTAAAACAACAATCAACTTTTACTTAGGGGCCAATCAGCGACTGCCTCACAGTTAGATGATGATTTCGGACCCAAATACCCCGGGAAAGTGTTCTATGCGTTTCGGGTATGTAGGTGTTCGTATGCAAGAAACTGTTTGTAGGAAATTAAAATAAACTCGTTTCAAGCCGTATTCAACATGGATGCCCACATACATATTAAATATCGGCTGATAAATCGCATTTACTTAATATCACTTGTACGCCGACTGACTGTGATGCCGACATCTATGCGCTTACATGTACAAAGTGCGCATGCTTCTATGTTATGTATGCGTAAATGGTCTCAAGACACAAAACATGAACAGCGTCATCTACCGGTATGCACTCACCATTGGTATCGCCTCGCATACCATTTCTCGAGCAGAATATGCGTTCTTCTGAATGAATTTATTTTAACAGGAATAATACTTATGGCCATCGCTATCGAGAAATGGATCCTCCATCGCAGAATAGCTCTGACGGTGTCCATGATTGTCGTCATGAAGCAGGTAGAAAGTAACTTGCTTGAAGTAGAATTGTACTCCTGGACTTCAACACGTGCTTATAAGTTAACACTTAAACTACCTGTGGATTCCCCACCAACGCAGCTTTCGATTTGTGTTCCACTGAAATAGACAGATATGATAACTCGTATCCGAGTAAATTTGAGGTATTTCTCGTGTTGTAGCCACGCTCACCCATCCTAAAACAGTCGACTGTTTCCGGCTTTCTGACACTAGCCGAAGTAATAGTGCGCTACCAAATGCCAAAATATGAGAGGAATTCAAACTCTTTTTCTGAAACGTTGTATTTTTTGCGTATGCAGAAATGTGTATGGTAATAGTGTGAGAATTTAAGAGTTTCCAAATAATCTGAAGGTGTGACATCAATAGACAAGCGACGTAAAATCAATGAGAACAATTTTGGATGGACATATACGATCATACTGCAGATTAGCCGTTTATAAATACAAAACAAAACATGAATTTGAAGACAAGAGCCGAAAAATTAAACTTAGCACAGTACTATCACTTTTTTGAAGAACCAGATTCCAAAAATACCGAACATCACGAAAATATAATGAACAGATTATTGTTGTTTACTACGAGACCTGTAAATGGGCAATTAATTGAAGCCAAATGAAAGCTAGCCTGCATTGAAGGCATCCGGAAAAAACAAGATTTAGCATGATTGTAAATAAAAGGCACACCTGGGAACAGACATCTTTTTTGTGTGTATGCAAACAGAGTCACATCGATCACATTTTACTAACGATATACTATACTAAAAAAGCAGAAATAACTTTTATCTTTGTACACATCATTTCTCACATTTTACTCAACTCCCGGGTTAACCTAATTTCATCGACCTGATTGAGCGGCCATAACAGCATCAGTCGCGGTTACTAAGGTTACTTATTACAGTAAATACTGCAACAGGCTTTTAATTCTTAAAAAAACGGCATCATATATGAGAATTTTTATATGGATCTCAGGAATCAGGAAATCCATGATGCCATTCGAATTTTGGAATATTGCAAATCTATGCAAGGTTGGATAATACTATAAACCTGCGCCATAATAACATATAATAACCTATTTGAATAGACTGTGATTCTGTGACACGCGAATAAGATATACATTGTGCATGATTACTATGATACTGTGCTACATCTCATAACAATATATATGATGCGTAGTAGGACAAATTATTCACATATTAGAATTGATGAATTTAAATTGATATTTACAAATAGACAAATTGATATTTGGCTCATTGAATTTATGACACTTCAATGATCGGGTTATCATGTATTCCCTCACATCTCAGAAACTTGTGTCGGTGTTATTTAGCTCGCATATTACCTCTAATAGAGAAAACTATGTTAGTTTTAATAGGTGTGATGGTCCATGCATAATTAGCATATTTAAATGGCATATAACAAATGGCGTAATTTGTCCCATCAATTGATACGCAGGTACAACATTGTTAATCCGCTAAAAACAATTATGCAGTATATAAAATGAAAAAAACTGTAATGTGGCAATCAATTCTGAAATAAAATCTTAGTTCAGATAAATAATTATTCAGATATTTATTGCCATGATATCTGTACACTTTACGAGAACAAAGAGATTTGTCTTGAAACAGTAGATTTAATGGCATAAAAGTCCCCTCCCCCTCAATAAAATGTCTTAGCCTTTAGCCTGAAAAAAATATCTCGTAGTTGGGTCTTATCCTGTAATACATTTTTCATGTGTGTAGATGTATGGCAGGAATGTATGTTATACTACGGTGGTAGTTACTATCGAAATCTCAGTAACCTGGATATCCCGGAGCGACCATTGAGCAGTGATTAACCGTCATAAAAAATACTGTACCCTGAATCAGCATCACTGGAAACTAGTATAGAGTGCAATATTGTATTAGGTTACCAGCTATACAGAAGAACAATAATATCGCCTAAATAAAATTATCTCATCTCAAACAGTGATATAACAACAAGATATGCGTCAACTTATGAACTCAATAATGATTTGTTTCATGACTGGTCACGAGGTACATCACCTGCCATAAAGAACGTCAGAAAGATTAGATTACATATCTGAAATTCACTGGGCACAGATGCTATTGTGGAGACATCAGTCATGTTGACCGGGCATATGGCCAAAACATCGAACCATTTTTTTAAGGAGCTGACAAAATGAAGTCCAAATGCAGGGAGATATTTTGGGAGCTATGGTCGTTTTTGGACATATTTGTGATTATTTTAGTTCCTATTTTATGTCTGCCGTTGATTATCATCATCCCGACATCGGTGAGTAAGACGTTAATCTTCGGTTACTGAATATAGTTAGGGAATGGGGTATAAGTTCAACTTGTTGAGTATGGAGATAAACACCAGCATTGTGCAATTCGCGGTCTTCGTCAACGAGTCAAAGTTGACGACGTTATGAAGGCGGTCAGTGGTTAATTCCGAAAAGTTAGCATTCCTCGTGCAATTTCGTATTGTATGATTTTATTGGGGGGTTAGTGTACACACCAGTGTTATTTATACAACACAGGGGGAACAAGATATAGGGGATAACGAAGAAGTGTTCCGATGTCGGCCGAATAATATAGTTCCGATTTAGGGATGTCAGATTGTCAAATACTTGCGTTATATGCAAAGGTGCTTTGGAATGTCATGATATCGTAATCTTGATTGTGTTTGTTTGTTTGCGGTCTGCGGTTTGCGGATATGCTTACTCGTAATGTGGTGGAAGTCTAATTGTTAATCACTAATAGCGGAAGTGATGTTGTGCATTGTCATTCAACTATGCAATTATCAATAAAACATAGTACGACACAATATTTATACAACACAGGGGGAACAAGATATAGGGGATAAAGAAGAAGTGTTCCGATGTCGGCCGAGTAATATAGTTCCGATTTAGGGATGTCAGATTGTCAAATACTTGCGTTATATGCAAAGGTGCTTTGGAATGTCATGATATCGTATTCTTGATTGTGTTTGTTTGTTTGCGGTCTGCGGTTTGCGGATATGCTTACTCGTAATGTGGTGGAAGTCTAATTGTTAATCACTAATAGCGGAAGTGATGTTGTGCATTGTCATTCAACTATGCAATTATCAATAAAATATAGTACGACACAATATTTATACACTTTATTTTCTGTCATAGGAATCTTACTGTGGATATATCTTAATAGTGATGTCATTCTATTGGGTTTTCGAATGCATGCCTATAGCCGTTACTGCTTTGATACCACTGGCCCTATTCCCCGTGTTTGGTATTATGGATGGTGGCGCTACAGCTTCGATGTATTTCAAGGACACCAGCGCTCTGTTACTTGGAGGTATAATGATGGCTATTGCAATTGAACACTGGAATCTTCATCGGCGAATAGCGTTATCTGTTTTGATGATTTCCGGCACGAAACAAAGATGGTGAGTAACGCAACTGTGTTAATGAAGTTTCAAATCGCATCATCTATAGACAAGCTATGTATGTTGACAGTTTGCATACATTTTGTACATTAACTCGTTATCTTTTGGCAGGCTGCTCCTGAGCTTTATGTTGGTCACGTGGTTTTTATCAGCGTGGATGAGCAATACAGCTACCACGGCAATGATGTTACCCATAGCCCAAGCTGTATTGGTTCGATTATCAGAAATAAACACATTACAAAAGGTAAATATCGCCTTTAACATATATATTAGCGGAGTTTCTGTAATTCTGCTTTCGAAATTATAAACGTGTTTTTAACCTTAAATAGGAAGAGTACACCAAGGAATCTCATCATATAGAGATGGGGGACGTGTATGACGACACCACTGGTACGGAGTATATCGTGAAGAATGACACAGAGCAACAGAACGGTTCTTCAAATACTTTACAAGACAACACATCACATTTTCTGTGAGTTGGTCTTTTATTGAATAACAATGCACTACTATAATCCAGGGGTCTTTTCCAACTGACTCGGTCTTACGAACATAAAGAGAATTGACACTCTGGGACTTGTGTCTCAAAAGCCAGCAATTCACCAGGGAAAATTCATTCACCATCTGATGTGACTTTAGAGAAGCGTGCGCTAATTTAAGTGTCTGTGTTTAACTGCACATGGGATCATAGTGCATAACATAACCTTATTATGAATTACATAGATTAATAAACGACTTGCATTTTATGTTTGTGTGATAAGCATACGAGAGGAAAAAGCTACTGATGCAGAGATAAAGATCGAAGATGATAGCAATGGTTTACAGCTATCAGAAGATTATCGATTATTTGGAAAAGCTTTGATGTTAGTAATATGTTACGCCGCTAATGTTGGTGGCACAGCTACATTGATTGGTACATCACCCCAACTTATATTACTGTCAAATTTGGATGAGTAAGTCTTTGCGCATGCCCAGTGAGATATTTTCACTTTTGGGATAGTTTATGATAACAAATAATCTGGATGAGCTATGTTATTTGAGAGAATACAATAGTATTATCATTGGATTAATGTACGTAATAAAAAGACGTAATATCAATAAGACTAAAGTATATTTTGAAAGTCATATATATGTTTCTATATGTATTGTCTGTTTGTTTGTTTGTTTTCAGGCGCTTTGATGATCATCCTCTCAATTTTCTATCTTGGTTTATATTCAGCTTTCCGTCATCTTTCCTATTTATATTCATAACCTGGTTTTGGTTGCTGTTCATGTACTTAGATTTGTGGTATGTTTTTAAATAAATAATTATATATATTTGATTCGCAAAACATGATGTAGTAGAACCTGGATACAAGCTGTACAACAGTGTACGTAAATATATAGTATATACGTGCCCACATGTTAATGATCCGATATTACAAAGGAACGCTTCCTGTTGAAATACGATTACTTTCATACTAGTTGCTTGGTCAGGTAGAAATATACAGACACATATCAGTAGGCTTGTTGTATATTTTCAATGTGAATAAATATACGTATTATTGTAAGTAATATTTTGCAGTCCATGGAGAAAGTCTGGTTTAGCATCATGTTCATGTAGTTGTAAGACGAATGAAGAAGAAATATTGATAAAAAAAATTATCAGGGAAGATTTTAAAAACCTTGGACCTTTTAGGTAAGTAATATTAAATCTCATGAAGCACTTCTGTTGGAGTAGTAATGCATTTATTTGCATGTTTAATAATTGGAAGTTCCATTTTTGCACCCTTTCACAAGATCTCGTATTCTAATTTTATCTATGTGCTTATTAACGCAATAACCTCGTATTGGCTCCACATCAGACCATACCAACACAGGCTGGTCAATCTACACCTGTGTTTTTTCGATTTGTCTGTTCAGGAAAATGAAATGTGTAGATCATAAGCAACAAAGAATTGTCTTTGCATGTTATGTGTGATGGATGTATCCAGTACTTGTTGATGCTTTGAATTGGTTGTACATTACTTTATTATTGAGGCTTGGAACAAACAATGTTTATTCAAAGTTAGCCAGTTAAGTTAAGTATATTAATGTCAATACATAAAATATTCTATTCTCAAATGAACATGTGGTTCACTTATAGTTGGGCTGAACTGTGTGTGTTGACGCTGTTCGTTACGCTGTGTGTAGCGTGGATAACCAGGGATATTGGTGGATACGGATGGACTGACCTCTTCCCAGAAGAGTGAGTGTATTTATTCAGTACCTTCACGGTTTGAATCTTTCATTTTGTTGCAAAACAAGGTAGCCAGAAAATTACATAGTTAAACAACTGTATCTAACCACGATGTAATGTGTTTTTCAGCTATGTCACTGATGCGACCCCGGCTATATTTATAGCAATTGTTCTATTCTGTTTTCCTTGTGCGTTTCCAAGTTTCTTTGGATTCAGGACAAAGGAAGGTACACAAATATTTTAAATGCTCTACCACTAACGCAAATATCCATCATTATTATCAACTTGGGCAAACGCGCGACCATCACTCTCACAACTTGTAAAATTATCCTTACTATTTGTCATTGTATTGAAAGAAACACGCACATTGTTTCATGTTTTTAATTAGAATACATTCAACAGATACATCCAAGACTGCATCAAAATCAAGCCTACTAACCTGGAAAATCGTCAATGAAAAGATGCAATGGGATGTGTTTTTGTTACTGGGTGGTGGGTTTGCCTTAGCGGAAGGAATGGAGGCAAGTTGATTTAATCTTTGTTCCAATCCTAATCATCACCTGAATTAGTTTTTATTTTTAAGTTATACATCATAACACATCGTTTTTGCTGTTACCAAAAAGTGGGTGTAATACACATTTTTATGTACATTTCTAAAACTATGGTATTTCTTAGCTGTGGACAAACGTTGGAAAATTACTACCTTATACTAAATTTATTTGCCTTCAATTACGTTTTGGTGGTCGTCACTGCCGTCCCCGGAATTCTGCTCATAACGTTTTGGTACCAATTTGCGTAGCTATCATCGAAGAAATTCAAAACCGTCGTCGTTGTTTCAAAGCAAATGAAGTAATCAGCATAACTTTTCCCACGTCAGAGTGAATTACATGATGATGAATTGTAATAAAAATGAATCATTGTCCTCCATAAAAATTCACAACGGTTTCTGTCATTTTGGTCGTCACTGGTCACAGGCAACTTGTAGCTTCAATAATTTTGACGTGTTTTTGGTCGCATTGTATATGTCAGTCACACAATTACATGTAAATAAGTACTAGTAAACGGCCAGGACATAGTCAATATGGGAATCACATGTAAGCCCTGTAGACAGCGCTAACATACAGTATCCCATTAATGAACGAAATTCAAATTCAAATCTTATGCTCTTACAAATATTTATTATAAATTCACTAATTAATTAATTAATTTCAATTTTTCACTATTTATTGTCATTTTTGTTAGTGTACCTGTATGTATTAAAAAATGAACACATTATATCTAATTGGTGGTAGGAATTGCCAAGCCAGTTTATAAAATTCTGAACTAATATATTTGAAAAAAACAGTGAAATACGTCTCCAAGAAGTGTTACTGATGGGATATTTTATATTGCAATTTCTTTCAATTTTAATTACTTGTATTTCAATACATTTGTAATAATTAAATATATAATATATATAATCTCTTTATTTCTTTGCTGAGAATGAGAATGAGTTATACATTGTTATATCATGTTTCGTACTATGATTTCTTATCTATATTGGAAAATTGTTCTGGGATTATTAATGTCAATAAACAATATTCAACTATATTTCTGCGTGATGCAAAACACATTCTATAAATGTCAAATTTGTCTTGGTCTAAGAAACTAGGGGCATTATCAGAGAGTGGGTCTTATTTAGGATATCCTGCCAGAGCAACTGCACAAATTGTAAGGAAAATTAACAGATAATAAGGATGGTATTCTCAGAATAGCACCAGCTGTTAAAGACACATAAAACTTTAATTCTCAACAAGAACCAGTTTCTCCAATACATCCCTACTCTCAGCAAAAGCAACCCACTACGAAATCCACTTACCATGAAAGCCACTAATCGTGAAGCTACTAGTTCCATATACAAAAAGTGTTTAGTCTTTCAAGCTTTTCGAAACAATCAAATGTTCACGTGATGTACATCTTTCTCCAGGTCTCAGGTCTCTCTCAGTGGATTGGTGACCAGTTATCGTCACTTGGGTCTTTGGAAGACTGGGTTATTGTTCTTGTCTGTTCTACATTGGTGTGCTTCTTCACAGAAGTGACTAGCAATGCTGCAGTTGCAACCATATTTATACCCATTATAGGGGCTCTGGTATGTGGTTAACATTTAAACGTCCACTATTATCAAAAACTTTTAACATTCTTTTCGGACGTCTACTGGACACATGGTGTTTTAAGAAGCATTGATATAATATTGGAAATATAATAAAATACCACACATAAAATAAATTCAGCATTTGATACTATTCGATCAATAATTCATCGTGGTAGTGAGTAGTAGTTATGCAACTGGGAAGAGCGTTTTGCAACAAATTGTACTCTGTGAAGACATTTCTGGCCTAAGGTTAAAGTGGGAAATTTTATTTGATCGCCCACAATTTTTATTTTTAGTGAACGTTATGTTTTTCTTCATATTTATTGTATTTTATAGGCAGGGAGTATTTGTCTACATCCTCTGTATGTATTGATGCCATGTGCGATCTTGATCTCTTATGCATTTATGTTACCAGTAGCAACCGCCCCAAATGCCATGGCGTTTGCTAATGGATTGCTGACTATACCTGATATGGTAAGACGCATTAGATACTACCCACAATTACAGTAAACTGACGTACAAGTGACAATATTATAAATACAGCGAATTTGACGTTCTTTACTATATGGGACAGTCATCTTTGAAGCTGACCTTCAAGAAACAGCTATGCAATACATACACAATTCAGATTCCCAGAAATCTTAAACTATCCCAGGCAAACGTTTTGGTAACTTTAATTCATCCATCAACAGAATTGAACAAATGATTATGGGCGCTTCTCAATGCATAAAACTTACATTCACGTTCATGTTTTTTAAACCGTCATTGGCACTCAACTGTAAAGCCGTCTATACAAGGTTTCTTACGATCTCAATTTCAAGTTCTTTGTATAATAAGTGTACAGAAAATAACAGTTTATTTTATAAATACACAAAATCTGACTCCCCCAATAGGTAATGGGAGATAAATAAATCATTGAATCTTTTGTAAATGCTCTTAATCTTAATTTAGTTAATCATTATCATTAATTATCTCTTTTTAGGCAATCACGGGATTCGGACTCAACATACTTGGAATTCTATGGATAAATTTGTGGGTGAATAGTTATGGTAGAGGGTTATTTGATTTGGATGAGTACCCAGACTGGGCGAAGACTGATAATACAACATGTGCGGACACAACCGTCAACGTCACATTACTTTAACGATATATGCAGATTATATTTTATATATATTGGACTAGAACACTATGTGATACTTGGTGTAATGCAACAATTAGTTCATAGGAGGAAAACATGATAAAAACGATCAATTACATGTGATGCATATTACAATGCTACATATTTATCAAAATAAATACACTTTAAAAATTGTGCCTATATCTAGTCGAGTTAATGAATTATGTTAAAGGGCTGTGGACGTCCTGCAGCACGTGTTTGGATAATTCAATAAATTGACTCACTCACTCATGCATTCATTTGTCCATATAATACAAGTTGCGGCGACGAACCAATCAGCGTGGCCGTACCACCAATACTAGCAGAATAGCATAGTTCTAGCATTAAGACTTTTCCAAACAATCGATACTTCTCAGCGACTTGTAGACCGATTGGGTCAGTCTCGGGAGTTGACTTGGAAACCTTTCCTTTTAAACTATTGACACAAAATAATAAAACAAAAATGTAATTTTCATCAAGAAAAAAGTTCCAATGAACTGGCAAATTAAATGATAAAACCAATTCCCATGACGTTTCTTCCTTGAATATCATACATTTATGAAACATTTCGTTTGGAAAATTGTGTGAGGCTTTGTGTTAGCCTGTTAGTCTTGCCAAATGTCACCTTATCGTGTATTATGTAATTTGTTTTATTTATTGAACTTTGCAAAGATATATAATGTGGTTATTTAAAATGAGTTTTATTTCATAAATACCTTCATTGTCCTAGGAGATGATTTCTTTTAAAGTAAAATATTAATCTGTTGCATAAATATACACGATGTGGCTCGGTTGACGTTTTCAATATATTTGAAAACAATGTGTGTTTTTTTATATTATTTCATTTCAAAAACCATTGTCAAGTATGTATACATCATTTTACAATGTCGGTTATGACAAATACGGAAAAGTTATTGGCAAATCCGCATGATTCTTAAATAAATGATTTTCCAAGCAGACACTAACAAGCTCATCACTTACCGTAGTGAGCATCCTATCATATTTTATGATGTCTCCTGTATCCGTTTATTCGTGAATTCTGCATGGACATTCGTTATGACACTGAAAACAAATGAAAACATGACAGCTCAAAATAAACTTGACATTTGTGGGTTTCAATATCACGTGACAGTTTTTGTATTGAAATTTTAATAGTTTTCATCTAAAAGACTGACTACTGCTGAAATTATTATAATGTGCTCGACTGTAGTGGCGTTCTTTGACTGATATCCGTTATAACAAATACACTAGTGCGTAATTCATACGAGTGGTCGTGTATGTTTTCTGTTGCTTTCTGTGGAATAACGCTGAAAACATTCAATTCAGAAACCCTATACTTTCCACCTTAGCTTCGTTCCAGAAACTACCAATACAGATAATGCTTTGAGTTTAAACCCAGATGGAGTTATATTTATACCACTCAGTGAGTACATTTGTGATTTGTACAGAATGGAATGTGAAACAAGCTGCTTGAATGTTAGGTGTTAGGGTTGGGTAGCCAATCAGGAAAGATTTTGTAAGTAGCTTCGAAATAAAGGGTCGAAATCAATCTAGAAATCAATCTTAAACAATTACATATTTAAATGTTTGAACTTACACATACAAGACGTCTACATATCTTAAAGAAGAAAACCAGGCAACCAAGCGTAAAGTTCAATGACCTGAAACCTAATGTTGTTTAAACATTTAAGGGGTGGTGTTCGATGCGTTCAATCAAAGACACTAGAAAAAGTGTCTTTGATTCAATATGGCCCATGTGACGTATATACTACTAGTGACAATTCAGTGACAATTATAACGCGTTAAGAATGAGATCTAATCACAACACAAGTTTTTAATGGTACAAATAACTACATATAAATTGATTAAATATCCAGAGACTTTTCTGTAACTCTATTACAATGTAGTTAAACAGACATTAGTCATGATTTTTAAGGTAATGCGAACCGGCGACATCAAGAGAAATTAAACTGTTATATATAAGTGATTCGTTTGTACGATAGAACATATATATACTAACGGCGGAAGGTCACTTACCAGTGTCGGAATAACCATAATCAATGGAAAACTCAGTAGCGGTATCGCAATTAACGTGATGATGTCTTTGAATGACCATAGTTTTCAAAGTAGCTGTTTGTAATTGGGTTCCATTTTTAGAGAGTGTACATGTTGATTTATTTACGTATGCATAAATCAGACTGAAAATTTAATTTACATGTAATTCATACTTGCCTGTTCATTGAAGTACTTTCTTGGCTAAAACGTAAGGACAATTAACGTGGCAAATGTATTGTAATATCACATTCAGGTCAGGGACGTGCCCAATGTTTACCTGTTAAAGG